CTGCAGTCATTTCTTTCTGCTGCTATCTATCTCTGATTGCTTAGGGTCTTTAGCCAAAAATCTGCCAAAGGGGGAGTTTGTAGGTGTTTAGGTATTGGCTTGCATTTTTGGTAAATCCCAAGTGTATGTGTGAATGTCATGACTGATGTCATAACATTCTAGTTCAGCTTGTACTGACTCATTAGGTACCTTTGCAGAAAAATATTGTAATTCAAGTACTGATGTTTATAAGTGTGTATCTGAGCATTTTGCAAAATGATCACATTTTGCTAAATCAGTAGACAGGTTTTCTCAGATGTCATAACAGATGTTATGACATCCTGTTCTGAACTAACAGGTTTGCAGGTTGGATAAGTCTGAGTTTTTTCAGGAAATAACTCAGTCTTTCCTGAACAGAATCCTGCGTTTTCTGAGGGGTAACCTAGCTCAACCCTAACCTGGTTAATAAAGTCCTGTGACCTAGTCTTAAGGTCAAACGGAATTAACCCTAGGTTTTTGTGGAAACCCTAACTGAAGTTGCAGCTGCTATATATTCAACAGAGCTACTGTTTTGCAAGTAATCCCCTTTTGGTTAGAAGATCATTTGTAAGCCTCACATAATGTAAGATTGGGGGTGTTCTGTTAGGTAAACCTGTCGATCTGTGGCAAGGTTACCATGTGTGTAACTCGATACCTATAGGTAAGAGTTTGAGTGTTCTTGGACGAAGCTGTGAAGCAAGTCTAAGTATTTTTGCATTACTTCTTATTCATCGTAATGTAGGAAACCAAGTGGGAGGGTACTACTTCTTGAGTAGGAGTTAGACTTCTGTTGTTGCGGCAATAGGAATGGAAACTGGTAGGTTTCTATCTAGGAGTTCCTAGGTATAGGTTGCACTGGGTAAATGATTAAGTGAGGGATGGGAACTTGTAAAGTTTAGTCCTGAATTAATATTGCTGATAGTGGATCTTCTTCCTGGCTTGGTATGCCCCCAGAGTAGGTGTGTTTCACCGAACTGGGTTAACAATTGATTGTGTTTTTACCTTTAACACTTTATAATTCTGTCTGTTATATATCAAGGTAAAACTGTAATGTTGTAACAGATGATGTCTCAGAACATGTTAAGACATCATGCTGATATCTGTGCAGGAGAAACAGAACTGTGAAGGTTGTTTGCTCTCTGTTGATCATGTGTACCAGATGGACAGAACTAGGTACATCGTGTGGTCTATCCTCTGCACCTTCAAAGTATATCTGATACAGCTTGGATAAAACTGTGTGAATGTTACAGATGATGTCAAAAGAGATGAATGGATATCCTGCTGGTTTGTGTGCATGATAAACAGAACTAAGGGGTTTGTTTGCTTCATGGTATGTGATAGATGATGTTGCAACCAATGTTGAGACATCAGGCTATGAATGGATAGTTTACAAACCAAAGCTATTTGTTCGAGAACTGCAGATATGGCAACCTCTATGCTTCTGTTATACTTTAGTACTGAATCACAAAAAATTGGGTATCTACCTTGCAGTGTATTTATTATGTCATATCAGATGTCTAGACATTGAGTATAACATCTGAAGACTGGCATACACCAGAATTTCAATTTATGTTGAGATGTTGTCTTGTTGTGATTGTCTCTGTGAATTCTTGTTGATAATGTGAAGTTGTAGAGAATTTTAAATGATGATGAATTACCTCTATTTACTGGTAATAATGGTGATGTGGGCTTATGCCTTGCGATGGATGATGATTGTTGTGACTATGTGATAGTGCATTCATTGAGTCACATATATTTGCATACTCTGTAATGGCCTAGATTGGCAAACCGCGAAGAAGGCTTATGCCTTGTTGATGCCTCTATTAATTGGCAATTTTTAAGATGGGAGTTCTGCTCCGTTTTTAAGATGGGAGTTCTTCTCCATTTTTAAGATGAGAGTTCTACTCTGTTTTTAAGTTGAGAGATCTGCTCCATTGGTACCACATGCATGTGTATTGTAATTAAGTCGCATTTGATGTTGCATCTCGAGTTGTGGTGATGATATATTTGTTGTTGCTTTATGTTGTTGACTTGTTGTGATGGGTATATCTAAAAGTTGTGAATTAGTCGTTATATCGTGTTGATGCTTTGTTGTAATATTTGTTGTGTATAAGTTGTGAAGTGGTGATTTTATATAAACTGATTCTGATATATTAATTATCATACATTCAATTATATAGTTTGATATCTCACCCCTTCTGTTTGAATGTTGCCCTTTGTTGGTAACATGCAGGTAATCGAGAAGGATAGTTGTTACCTCGTTAGTTCGAATCGGTGTCGTCGCTCTGATACGTAGCACTCGGGGGGATGAACGCTTGATGTTTAGTCGTTGATATTTATTTCAGTTGTTGAATTTTTAAGTTGATTACATGAAATAATTGTTGTCTTGAAGTTGTTTTAGTTGAATAAAAGATGTTAAGTGAATTGAAGTTGAGTATGTATATTTCGTTGCTTATCAATAAAAAGTTGTTTGATTTTGAAGAATAAATCAGGTTGTTATTGATTCATTTGAGTTAAGTGTTATGTATCTGTTTTATATGTGATTAAATGAAGTTTGATTTTAAATCGTAAATGTATCATTCTATTTATGTTGAACTGTGATTTTTAATATTATTCGCCGGGTAGAAATGGGTGTTACAGTCGCCCTCGTCCTTTTCTCATCCCCGTGTTAAATCCAATTTAACTTTATTCACAATTAGATGTTACATACAGTCATTCTCTCTCTTAATTAAAATTTCAAATTTCTCTCACATTTCTTTTTTCTACACTTTCTCAGTTTCATTTTAATTTTTTTTCTCTATTTATTTATTATCACTAAAAATTCTAATAATCTATTTTTTTTATTTTAATAAAATAAAAAATTAAGTTATCTCACGGGTCATTACCAATACAATATCTATTTTATTTTAATCAACCATTATCTTAATTTTGAGAGACAAAAATCCTTATTTTTAAATACTGATTTTTTTTTTCTTTCTCTTTCTCACAGTTTTTTCTTCTTCTTTTTGTATGATTATTTAATACAATTAAATTTGTATGATTATTGTTCATTTTACAATTAAGTAAATCATTTCAAATTTTGCATTTGTATCTAAATATATTTTATATCACGACAAATGTTTTTTTTATCCCATGGACCATTATTAACGCAATATCTATTTTATTTTAATTAATAATTACCTTTATTTGAGAGATAATTTTTATTTTTAAATATTAAAATTTCATTTTTCTCTCCATCTAATGAGTCCTTTTATATAGTTATTTAATATAAATGAATTTATATGATCATTGTTCGTTTATAATTAAATTATTAATTTCAAATTTACATATATTTAAATATATTTTATACAATATCAAATAAATTTATCCGTGCGGGAGAATAAATATCTTATTAATTATATTACTAGTTTTATTTTAAAAATGATATTCTTGCCGCTGACGTTGCAGGGACATTATATTTAAAATTTTAGTCTTTTGGTTTTATTTTTTTTAGCTTGTAAAAAAGATCCAACATGTTTTGCACTTTTTTTACTGAACATATTTTACACTTAAAAAGTTAAATAATTAATAACAAAATATGTTAACATAATGTTTAAAAATGAATCGTGTATATTAATCATGCAATTTCTAAATAAGGTAGTGAATGTTACCATAAACGTGTTAATTTTATGTATCAAATTAATTATTCTTAAATTATAATCTTGAAAAACTAAACTAGATAAATTATTATTATGAGAAGAGAGAGAAAGAACATTTAGCTCATTCTGTGTACTGGTTAGCATTCTTCACACTCTTTGCTTTCAAGTCTTCTTTGCTACTAGTACTTCATAGCATTGTCTTGTTTAGTACATCATCAAGTAAACGTTATTGAAACTCAACTTGTCATGGACACTTTCCACTCTTCATTGTCCCCAAATGTTTAACTCTAATCTTCATCAATCATTGTCATGGAACCGTTTCACATACCGTGGAATTGTCTCTCAGCTTAACCACCTTCTATTCCTCCGAAAACAACAAACTCTTCCTCTCCTCCAGCTCCCAAATCCTTTGTTCAGGCACTGAATGGAGTCTGCAATATTCCTTGTTCTCAACTTCCACAACCCATATTAAAAGGGGATCGTCTTTCAATCACAATCCCTAAAGACGAGTACCTTGCAGGGGTTAAAGACTGCAAACACAATCTTCACGGAAGGATTATTTGGCCTTGTGGTTCCAAACCTCTCATTACTCTCAACCTCAAATCGAAACTCACTACTATATGGTCTGGTCTGGGTAGATGGGGGGTCATATCACTGGGTAAAGGATTTTACGAATTCTCGTTTTCATCTCTTGAAGATGTTAGAAGATTTAGAACTTCAGGTTCTTGGAACCTTGCTCTAGGCGTGCTTCAGTTGTTTCCTTGCACCAGGAATTGTGTGCCTAACATTCAAAACTCAAATACTGCTCAGGTTTGGGTGAGATTCTATGGTTTGGCCCAAGAATATTGGCGCCCTAAATCTTGTTTGCGATTGCTAGCGGAATTGGTACTTAAATCTGCGCTGATGTTACCTCCACTAAGCCCATGATTGATAGGACTTTTGGTCATTATGTAAGGGTGCAGGTCGACATGGATGTTTTGTGCGAAATCAGATATAAAATGCTCGTTGAGAGATAGGGGTTTGCGTTTTTCATTTACTTGGATTACGAAAATCTACCTGATTTTTGTGATCATTGTAGAAAGATTGGTCATTCAGTTGACAACTGCAAGTTTGCAAATCCTGATCTTGCTGCGGATAGGTTGAAGTCCAAGACGAAGTTTGTCCCCAAAACTAACTATGCTGCTCAGGTAGAAATTCCTAAGAAACCAATTATTGTTCCCATTCAAGGGGACCAAGAGGATCTGATAGTTCAAGTCTCAGTCCCTTCTGTTGTTGCAGTTGGGGAAAAACATTTGAAGGATGTGTATATTTCTCCAGTTCCTGAGGAAAATCTTGACTTGTAGGATGGGATTTTCAAAGATTGTAACCCTGATAAGAACTTCAAATCGGTCCCTAATACCTCATCTGGCTCCGAGGGATCTTATGTGGATGGGGCCTGATAAAGAGAACGAGAACATCGCTTTTCTGCACAAGGCTTGGAATTCACTTCAAGGGGATCTAAACTTTCAAAACAATGTGGAAGACCATGATAATAATTCCTCTAATGACGATCAGGATCATGGGGATTCGACTTTCCACTTGGTTATGTCTAAGAAAAAAAAGAAAAGTTTGCAAAAGAGTAAGTTGAGATCCAAAGCAGGTCCCTCAAAGAATCTTTTTTGGAATGCGAGGGGTTTGGCCAACACTCCTACTAGGTTGGCCCTAAAGTCTTTTATTAAACAACAAAAACCTAATTTTTTTTCTTTATTTCTGAACCTTGGATGTTTTTCTCAAAATTTCCTCATAGATTCTTGGACGGTTTAGGTTTCAAGGTCTTTGCCCTAAACAATAGATGAGATTTTAATCCTAATTGTTAGTGTCTCTGCAAAGACACCTTAAACCCTGTCATATTGGATGTATTGAGGTAGAAGGTTTTCGTTTTGGTAATGATGTGGTTTATGCTTCTACCAACTGCATTTTAAGAAGGCAACTTTGGGACTCTCTCACGGCGCTTTTCAATTCTTTTCCCCTTCCTTGGTATGTAATTGGAGACTTTAATGCCATAGTTGGTTCTCATGAGCACAAGGGGATGGTATCTCCTTCCAGAAGAAGCAAGACTTTAGCAATTGGATTGATTCCAACCTTCTAATTGATTTAGACACATCTAGTGCTTTTTCATTTGGAGCAACAATAGAGTGGGATCAGATTTGATGGAGCGGAGATTAGATCGTGTCCTTGTAACCATGCTTGGTTGTCTCTTTATATTTGTTGGAATGTTTTTACTCTTCCGAGAAGTCGTTCAGATCATTTTCCCATTGTCTTGGATTTCAATTTTTCTTCTTATCAAACTTTATCTCAATTTAAATTCTACCCTATATGGGTGACTAATGACTCTTGTCTTTCCTTGGTTTCTGATTGTTGGAAGGCGAGATTTGTTGGCTGTCTGATGTACATCTTAAACAAAAAGTTGCAATTGTTAAAAGGAAAACTAAGAATTTGGAACAAAGACTATTTCAGGAATGTGCATTTTAATGTTTGAAACAATCAGGAATCTCTCAATCTCATTCAAAACAAAATCCAATTGGAAGGATTGAATGTGAAATTGTCTTCGGTGGAGAAAAAAACACAGGCTGACTTAGAAAATGCTTTTGAAGTGGAGGAAATTTTCTGGCGTGAAAAATCTAGATTAAATTGGATTTTGCAGGGCGATAGGAACACGTCTTACTATCATCGTTTGACCAAGATTAAAAGTGCTAGAGATATTATCACGCATCTGGTGATCGGGACAACTTTATTCTATTTATAAAGTTCTCTCTGATTGAACTTAAGATTAGTAATTGGTTGGTGCTGTCACCTTCTTACTCATAAAAGTATTTAATAGTGGTGACAATATATATCTCAAGAAGGAATTTATGATGCTTGCATTATTTCCAAACCACTGCGTGTATGCTGGAAAAACATAAACCGTTCCAATGCAAAGAAATATAATATTAGTGTAGTGTGTAAAGAAACCAATTGTTCAAACTTGGCATAAGGATCCAGTCATGGTTTGATATTCACAGGGTTTCAAAAATAGGCCAGGAATATAATTTGGATCATAATACCATGTTTTTTTTTTATGCCTGAAACAGTGAAACTGATGTTGTATCAAAAATTGTAATATGGCTAAATTTTGAGTATATAAACATTCCTCTCATAGACACACTTCTCTATCTGAAAAGTAGAATTGGAGAATAAATAGAAACACTTTGAATTTTATACAGATTTGTCTCAAAATGGACTCCCATATATTTAGTTGTCAGTAGTTACATTCCAGTACTAAAGACAAATGTTTAGTTATAATTAATGTAAAATAGAACATGAATAAAGAAGAGCATCATTCAGATCCTTCCTTTCATCGTATGTGGGCTTCTAAAGATTCTTGTTACTTTCTGATTCAAGATTACTGGAACTCTAATCATGTCAGTTGTCCTATGTATATTTTGAATTAAAGCTTAAGTTGTTCAAAGGAAAGCTTCGAATTTGGAACAATGAGGTGTTTGGTGACATTCATAAACAGGTCGCTGATGCTACTAAAAATATTCTTTAGATCCAAGAGTTAATTCAGTCGGAGGGAGCTAATGATAATTTCATTTCTCGGGGAAAGAAGATGCAATTTGATATGGAAAAAGCCCTTGATGTGGAAGAAGTTTTTTTGGAAAGAAAAATCTCGTATTGCTTGGCATTCTGATGGTGATAGAAATACTACTTTCTTTCATAGCATCGCGAAGATTAAAGGATCTAGAAATGTTATCTCTTATTTGCGGGACGCAGAAAACATTCTTCAGGATCCTTAGAGTATTGCCTGCCAGTCATGTCACCAACTATATTTCTAATCTTTTTGGAGTGGCTGATGATGTTACGGAGTTTCCGGATTTGGAGAACATCATTCTTACCCTCTTGAATGAGCAAATGAACAACATTCACACTGCTTGTCTGTTAGGTACTGACAGTAACAAATAAATTTAAGACAAAAGGATAGAAGCTGATAGAAATTAATGGCTATTATTGTATGATGGTAAGAAGATTTACAGAAGATTCAATGATCTATCTGCCACAGAGCTAGGCTCCTATGAAGTGTTTAACAGCCCCCCATCCAATGATTGCTAAATGAATCTTCTAGCGTACGTCCCCAATTCCCTTACCTCCTCATTTATTGTAACCGTCTAACAATATTTGCTAAAGCCACTACTCTCTCTCTGCCACCTCATAGCTATCACATGGTGTGAGATCCTTTTTTCCTTCTAGAATAAACCTGCCAGATCTTAGCACTCCTAGGCCCAATATGATTTGTCATTTCTATATCTGCCCCATCTTTCTTCACTTGGTCCCTAACAATACCTCCTTCTAGAAAAGCTACCTTGTCCTCAAGGTTAAATTCAGGAAATTGCTTTGTTATGGTTTCCATGTCTTCCCAAGTAGCCTCGTCCGCCGCCCTATTAGTCCACTGAATTAAAACTTGTTTAACTCTCTGTTCTCCTAGCCCGTTGAAACGTGTGTCTAAAACTCCTTCAGGCACAAACTGCTCCACACAACTCCCTTCAACTTCTTGGGGCAATTCACTTTCCACTGCATAATCTCCAACTGCCCTTTTTAACAGAGAGACATGAAAAACTGGGTGTACCCGTGATCCCTCAGGTAATTTCAGCTTATACGCAACAGCTCCAATCCTCTCCACAATCTGAAACGGGCCATAATATCTAGCTGCCAATTTAGCATTAATCCTAGATACCACGGATTGTTGCCTGTGTGGACGAAGCTTCAAAAACACCCACTCTCCAATATTAAAATTGGACTTTGTCCTCTTCTCATCTGCAAAATACTTCATGCGGTCTTGAGCTCTTTGGAGATGAGCTCTCAACTGCTTGAGTGCTTCATCCCGTTCTTCCAACTCTTTTTGAACTGCAGCCACCCTTGTCTCACCTTGCAAGAGTCTTGTAATAACAGGAGGCTTCCTTCCGTAGACTAACTCAAAAGGTGTACTCCCCGTGGACGCATGAAATGTTGTATTAAACCAAAACTCTGCCCATGGAATCCAAGTCAGCCAGGATTTTGGTTGGTCCGCAATGAAACATCTCAAATAAGTCTCCAAACATCGATTGACAACCTCCGTTTGGCCATCCGTTTCCGGGTGATAGGCTGAACTCATCTTCAAAGTGGTACCTTGCAGCCTGAAAAGTTCAGTCCAAAAATTACTGATGAACAGAGGATCACGGTCACTAACAATGGCTGTAGGTAAACCATGAAGTCGTATAACTTCTTTGGCAAAAATTTCAGCTACTGTTCTAGCAGTATAAGGTCTCTTAAGAGGGATGAAATGACAGTATTTTGACAGCCTATCTACTACCACAAACACAGCTTCAAACCCACGGGATTTCGGCAAACCTGTGATAAAATCCATTGAGACCTCTTCCCACACTGCTGAGGGAATGGGCAGAGGTTGTAATAAACCCCCAGGTGCGATAGCTAAGTACTTTTGTCGTTGACACACATCACAAGCCTTCACATAGGCTTGCACTCTTGCTTTCATACCTATCCAATATACATTAGCAGCTAAACGTCTGTAGGTGCGATAAAACCCAGAATGCCCACCTTCCGGAGTAATATGAAATTCAGCCAACATCTTGGGAATCAATGAAGATTGTGCAGATAACACTAAACGATCCTCATAAAATAAAACCTCTTGTTTGTACTTAAATCCTGGTCTTGAATCTGGTTTTTCTTCCAATTCCTCTATGATTTTCAGCAGAACCTTATCCATGTGGATTTCTTCCTGTATCACATTGCCTTCCTCCCAAATTGGATATGAGACCAGAGCTGCTAATTCACCTTCAGGTAATCGGGATAGAGCATCTGCCCCTCTATTCTCCACTCCCGACTTATATACGATATCAAACTGATAACCGAGCAATTTAGTGGCCCAATTCTGCTGATCCGGTGTCGTAATCTTTTGTTGCCATAATTGCTTCAAACTCTTTTGATCTGTTGTCACAGTGAAATGTCTGCCCAACAAATAAGGGCGCCAATGTTGTACCGCTAAAGCTACTGCCATTAGTTCTCTTTCATATGCAGACTTAGCCAAATTCTTTCCTCCTAAAGCCTTGCTAAAAAAAGCAATGGGCTTTCTCTCTTGCATTAATATCGCCCCCAGACCCACTCCGGATGCATCACATTCTATTGTGAACTCCTTTTCAAAATCCGGCAAAGCAAGTACGGGGGCTGTTGTCAGCTTCTGCTTTAAAATTTCAAAAGCCTTTTGAGCTTGAGGCCCCCATTTGAACCCCTCCTTCTTTGTCAACTCTGTCAATGGCTTGGCAATCTTCCCATAATCTTTAATAAACTTGCGGTAGTAACCCGTAAGGCCTAGAAATCCTCTCACCCCTTTAACGTTCTTAGGTATAGGCCATTGAATTACACTCTGCACCTTCGAGGGATCTACTGCTACACCACTTCCCGTGATCAAATGACCGAGATACTCAACTGTTTTCTGGCCAAACTGACACTTTTTTTTATTAGCAACCAGTTTATGTCTCCTCAAAATCTGCAACACTTTGGTTACTTCAAGAATATGTGTCTGCCACGATTTACTATAAATGAGTATGTCGTCAAAAAAAACTAACACAAACTTCCTCAATAAGGGCCTGAACACCTCGTTCATCAAGGATTGGAATGTGGATGGAGCATTCATCAATCCAAACGGCATCACAAGGAATTCATAATGTCCGTCATGAGTACGGAAGGCCGTCTTATGAACATCCTCCGGTTTCACCCTCACTTGATGGTACCCGGACTTTAAATCAAACTTGGTGAAATATTGAGCCCCATGTAACTCATCGAGTAACTCGTCTATCACTGGTATTGGAAACTTGTCTGGTACGGTGGCCTTGTTAAGGGCACGATAATCAACACACATTCGCCATGTCCCGTCCTTCTTCTTTACCAGTATAACGGGACTAGAAAAAGTGCTGCAACTGTGTTGAATAATTCCCATCCCAAGCATCTCCTTAATCTGTTTTTCTATTTCATTTTTCTGGTGGTGTGGGTACCTATATGGTCTGACATTGACTGCACCTTGTCCTGCCCTTAAATTGATAGCATGGTCCCTTGAGC